AAACAAAATAATTGATAATTGAGGAACTGAGTTATATATATATATATATATATATATATATATATATATATATATATATATATATATATATATATATATATATATAAAATATATATATATATATAAAACTTTCGTTAAAGACGACTGACAAGTTACTGCAATGAAACTCTTCATTTAATTTTTTTTGTGTTGTTGCAAATGATTTCTTATGATCATAAAATGAACAAAAACTGTACAAATGTTTTAAATATCTGAGCGCTTTCGTTTATTTTTTAGCCATTATCAAAGATGATTTTTAATATTTTATTTGTATTTTTTAACTGAATGTATGTGTCTGAAGTTATAGGAATGTTTTATTTTCCACACATGGTCAGCACATTGTAGGAATATTCCTAGTTAAAGTTATTGAGTGTTGGCTTTTCCTTTTTTTATTATCAGGGCTTCCATTACGTGTAATCCTTTTTTACATATGGACGAGCCTATTATACTTGTATTTTCTACTAGGATGAAGTTTGGTAGGATTTCGGGTATATTTAAATGAGTCCTAATTGAGCTATTGTCGGGTAGGTGTATCATGAGTCATCTAGATATGCATGTAGAAGTATGACCAATATAGTTATTTATGTGTTTTGATTGTTCAGGAAAACAGTTCCTTAACGGTCTTTTGAACTCGTAAATAACATTGGTTCTCTGTAGTTTTGATTCTACGAGTGTGCTGTTGTTTTTTATGATAAGGTTAGCTATTTTAAACTTTTTGTAATGGATAATTTAATTACCCTGTACTGGTCAACTGGGGGGGGGGTATATCTTTATGATAAGATAAAACTTTTCTTGATTTTATTTAACATATAGTTGGTTTTTGTAGAAGATGCCAATGTTATTATTTTTTTATGTATGTTCATTATTGTTATTAGTTAATTTAGAAAGAAACAGTCTAATCTGTTGGTGTAGTTAGGAAAACTATTTTTCACTGAATGTGAAAGAATAGGAGAAAAAGAGAAAACATAATTAAGGAGATATAATCTTAAAACGACAGGAATGAAGAAGACAAATATATAACAATTAAGATTGCATTTACATGATTGAAGATCAAATTTCATGGAAAACAAAAGGTCAAAAATGAATTCCACAAACAAGAAGTGCGAGTGAAGAAACTGTTAGCATATGTTTTACGGTTAAGTTGGTGAGATCTAGCTTCCAATCTGGAAGTAGACTTAAATTCGTAAAATCGGGGTACGAAAGACGAGAGCACATCAGAAGAATTAAAATGAAAGTATTTATAGAAAAGACACTGCGAAGCTATGTTTCGGCGGTGAGAATAGAAGGTTGAAAGAGAGAAGGAGAAAAAGGGACTCCAAAAACTACAATAAAGTGAGTTAATGTAGAAAACAGATGGCGAAAGGAAACTTGTTTCTAAAAGGGAACAACAGTAGAATGACAAGAATGTAGACAGATGAAGAAAGAAGAAGAAGAAGAAGAAGAAGAAGAGGATGAGGATAAAGAACAAGAATTCCGAAAAGTTTAAAAAGAAAAAAAAAAAGAAAAGTAGAGAAAAAAAGAAGAGGAAATGAATAGTGATGAATGTGAAAAGAATGAAAGATAAGAATAAAAAAAGAACAGGAAGAATTTCGAAAGTGGGAAATGGCGAAATTAGGAGAATGTAAAACTAAAGAAAGAAAGAAAGAATAAAGAAGAAGAAAATAATGGTGGTGGTGGTGGTGGTGGTGAGATTAGTTATGATAGTGACAATGAAAAATTAAAAGAATTATTTCGAAAATGGAAAAGTAAAAGAAAATAAAAAAAAAATATATGAATGTATGAGGAGGAAGAAAAAGATAATATAATGTAATGAAAAATATATCAGGAAAATGGAAAATGATAAAATTATTCTTTAAAAAAATTGTGATAAAGAAAGAAAATTGAATGGATGAATGCAAAAAGTAGAAGAATGAGGAGGAGGATGAGGAGGAGTAGAAGAAGAGGAACAAAGACAACAACAACGCAGCAACAGATGAAGCCGACTAAGAAATGAAGAAAGACTGTAATTGAAGAAATTAGGAGAATATAAGAATAAATAAGCAAATAAACATACAAAAAAAGGAGGAGAAAAAAGATGAAATATTTTGTAAATTCACAATAATAAATAAAAGAGTTTAGAAAATGAAATATAACGAGGCAGTAAAAATATAACAGAAAGATTGAAAGAATGCACGAATAAAATACGAGGTTGATTGATTCGTTTTCTAAAACTTATGTAATTAATTTAAAGACAATAATTTTAGAGTGTAACAATGTTTTTGGAGATAATATTTCTTTACTAATACACATATTTTTATTAATTAACCCTTAACTGAGATGAAAAAAAACGTGGGTTGATACTTTTCCCCAAAGCTATTTACACGTAAGTGAATTTAACGATCCCGTATGGAATTTGAACACGGTTCTCTCTTTCTTAATTCTGACCCATTAACCATGACACCACCCCCGCACATCTAAGCTTAAAACACATGGTGTTCCCATGCGGTCGCCCATCCTGGCACTGGCCAGGCACAACGTTGCTCAACTTCGGTGATCGTAAAGGAAGCGGTGTTTCTACGCTGCAAGCGCTGAAGTAGATCAAGAAGATGCAGCTGCAGATGATATTGAAATAAAAGAACCAGTTCAAAAATTGGAGGAAATTAAAAAGAATGAACGAAAGAATGAATGGATGGATGGAAGAAGAAGAAGAAGAAGAAGAAGAAGAAGAAGAAGAAGAAGAAAAAATGATGATGATGATGATGATGATGATGATGATGATGATGATGAAGAAAATAAGCTGAAAATTATGAAATTATAAAAAGAACTAAAAGAAAGAATGCCCGAATGAGAAGAGAGGGCGGAAAAAGGCGAGAAGAAGAAGAAGAAGAAGAAGAAGAAGAAGAAGAAGAAAAGAAAAGGAAGAAGAAGAAGAAGAAGAAGAAGAAGAAGAAGAAGAAGAAACATTCCCAGAGACATTTATAAACACATGAACACACAGTTTGAAAGTGCATATCAGGTTAAGCGTGCAATTTCAAACGGGGATTGATAACTTCCTCTTCTTGTCTTCCTTCCGTTGCATAGCAAATGATGCTGTATCCCGTTGCTTGTATTAGCTCCTGAGATTCGATAGACATTTTTAAACTTCCCCACCCACTCCTCGTCCCACAATTTGAGCAATGTGGTTCGATAACGAGAATGTAAATGTCAATGAACTTTGACCTGGACGATACAATCACGTATAATAAAATAGAAACACATAATCCATTTTTCATCTTTTCTCCACATTCGTCCACTGTTTTTTCCCCTTCATCCCCAGGAAACGCTTCCTCCTCATTCGTCTCATCCTATTCCTATTCTCTCCTTACTTTCTCCTCAACAACTTCTATGTCTAATACAAACGATTTTACAAGCATATTAAACGTTTAAATACATTCGATTGGCGCGACTCCAAAAAAACAAGTGGCTGGTGCCCCATCTCTCCTTCGATCTTACTCTAAAAGATCAATGGACGTAAAATAGATTGTAACTTTAAATGTCTCCAAAAATTAAGTAAGTAAATATTCCTTATCATCAAGCAGACCCTGGATTTCTATGATGAATGTGAGTACTCTCATGGAGGATCCTTGCCTTGGACGTCTATTGAGAATCAAGACTTTGAATTTTATGCGATCTATCGTTAAGATAGTAAAAATCGATCTCCCTTTTATACCACTCCAGAAAAACCGCTGTCTTATGGAACGACCTTAATTTTTTTATGTCTACGTTCAACCCTTATTTATCCTACTTAGCCTCATAATCTACACTTCTTACTTTTTGTTCTTACGTCTAAAGAAAGAAACACATAAGGTAAAGCTCTGCATTGAGTGGCTCTTGCATTTTATGTAAGGTGAACAGCCGCGTGGATAAAAGCTAACAATCTAAATAAGAGATTTTTTTTCTTCCCCCTTCGCGTCCTGAGTATGTGTTTTAACGTAGGGAAGGTTACTGAATTCAATAATTACATGAACTTTGATAATGAATGATAATACTTAAGACAAGAACAACATATATAAGATTCAGTAGTCAACTGCTAGAAGTGAGTCAAGTGAATTCCACAATGAATATCCAACTGCAGGATATCTACCAATCGGCCCACGCGGTCAGATGTGGCACAAGGCCGAATTTAGTGTGGGGTATCCGAGCCCGAAGGCTCGTCTAAAAATTCCCCGTATTTCTCGTATAAAACGAGCTTGGGGAGCTGGTTCCCGAGACGAGATTCTGCCCTTCGACATAGCGTCGTCTGGGGATCCTCTCTGCCCGGGGACAGAATGTTTAACCAGCACAGCTACAGACAATTCTCCAACTGCAGAATATCTACAAAACTTCCCACGCGGTCAGATGTAGCATAATGCAGAATTTAATGTGGATTGTCCAAGTCCATAGGCTCAGCCAAAAATTCACCATAGACCCTGTATAAAGCTGTGTCGGGTAGCTGTTTCCCGAGATGAGACATAAACTCGTCTGGGGATCCTCTAGGCTTGGAGGCAGAGAGTATGACCAGCACATCTGAAAAGGAATATGCAACAACAGGATATCTACCAACCACACTGGGCGGTCAAATATGGCACAAGGCCGAATTCAATGTGGGTAATCCGAGCTCGTAAACTCGGCCAAAAATTTCCCATAGACACTGTACAAAAAAGAGGGGTCGGGTAGATGCTTCCCGAGACGAGACTCTGCCCTTCGACATATCCACGTCTGGAGATTCTCTCTGTCCGGAGGCAGATAGTTTGGTCCGCACAGCTAGAGACGAATCTCTAACTGCAGGATATCTACCAACCGCCCCACGCTGTCAAATGTGACACAGGGCCAAATTTACTGCGGGGTATCTGAGCCCGTAGGCTCGGCCAAAAATTCTCTGTAGACCATCTACTAAAACAGAGTCGGGTAGATGTTTCTTGAGACGAGACTCTGCCCTTCGACATAGCCTGGGGAGCCTCTCTGCCCGAAGGCAGAAAGTTTGGCCAGCACAGCTAGAGACGAATTTTCGACTGCAGACCAACATGCTGTATTTACTACTGTATTTATGTGAATGGGGACAAATCCATTATCGTCTACAACAGTATGACACGAAACTACATCCGGCAGCAAACTTGAGAAACGGTCCTTGAAAAAAGACCTCAAACTTTATAAATACACACTTTTATCGTCAAAATGTTTATGCTCTTCTTAACAGACAAGACTAAAGTATTTTTTTATTCTTTTCTTTTTTTTTTCATCCATTCTAGCACGTTTAAAATGTTGGTTAAAATCATCAGAAGCCGCAAAGATTAGTATTGGAAATTTTAGTCATATTTGCGGTAAAAACACACTGTGGAAATTCTTGCAAGATTCATATAATTGTCGGGATTTTTATAAAACTTTCATGACATATTCATAATTGAATGAAATTATTTAAGGTTATCTTTTAGAAAATATTTTTTACACCTGTTATCCCCTTACATAATTAATGAAATTTCCAGAAGATTTTTTTGCTCTTAATAATAACATAAATATGTTCACAATGAATTTTGTTTTTATCAAGTATAGGGCCTTTTTTCATCACGGTAATTATGGGAGGTATACATTTTTATAGTTCCGTGTTATATAGAACATTCTCTTTGCTGTACAATTATAATATGTTCGATCGTCTATGGATATGTCATTTTTACATCCTTGAACGAAGGTTTAATTCGTAAATATACTCGCTCAGCGTCTAGTGATGATGGTGTTTTTTTACTGATGGATTTTTATTTAAGAGCTTATTAACAGGTCCTGTATATATTTCTGAGATGAGGTGTTGTAATTGTATATTATTTATTAGGTTGTCAAACATGAAAAGGCCCATTTTTTGGTTGGTTTGTAATCCGGTCTTCTAACGAAGTAACCTCGTTAATATATAAAATAATCTTGATTTATTCTTGATTCTTTTTCTTTCAGATAATTTTTCTTTTAATTTATTGTTACTCATGAGCTCAGTGAAAGTAATTACAATGAAACATTGTCGAGAAATCTTACTGTAGGAATAAAAACTGGGAAAAAGAAATATTTTGCACTGAATCCTTACATGCGATGGGAAATGGATACTCTTTGACAACAGTAAGAGAGTAGGCCAGTAGTTAGATGCAAGTGAATCATCAAAACATTACCCAAAATCTCCACTGCACCCTAAAATGTTAATGGTTACTATATGGTGGTCTTTCAAAGGGGTTATTCATTATTCATTCTTGCCTCAAGGGAAAACAATAACATCAACCTCGTATTGTGAAGAAACTGAGCGTATGTACGAAAAATTGAAAAATAAACATCCTAGATTTGAAAATAGGGATGATCAAATGTTGCTGCACGACAAAAATGATGCCGATTTCAATTAAATAAATTAGTTATTTAATAATTCAGAAGTGTTTTACTCATTTCTTATCAAGTGAGTCATTTCATGTGTGAAAACCTAATACATTATTCAAACTGTTGCCTCCATCTTTATTATCATATTCACAACGTTTCGGTCATTGCACTCTCCGGTCTTCTTCAGATGATATACGTTGAAATTCGAACCGAACCCTGTATTAAAGGGTTCGTAAATATAACAATAATGATGAGAACAACAACCCGAATAATATAAATAGTGTAGAAATTATTTAAAGCGAGAACATATATAGAATTGCAGATGTTTACTTACAATACCCGATCTACCCAAGCGGAATCCAGCTATTTTTAATCGGTTTCATCTTATTCAAGGTAGAAAAGCAACTAAAACACAAGGGGTTACCGGTTGTGAAAGCGTTCGGAAGAGAAACATTAAGCGGGAAGAGAAAAGAAGTAATCTAGACGACAGTAGATAGCAATTGTGATAATTTTTAATATTTTACAGAATTTAGCTGGAAAGAATGAAGCCGGAAGGACCTTCCACAAGCGAGAAGTGCGACAGAAGAAACTGCTAGCATAGAATTTACGGTTACATCTAGCAAGCTCAACTCTAAATTGATGAGATATCGACGCCAGTCTAGTACTGCGCTTAAATTCAAAAACTCTAGGTAACATAGCGTAGTTACCATGAAAGTATTTATAGAAAAGACACAGAGAGGCAACCTTACGGGGGTGAAAAATGGACTGTAGCCGAGATGCCAAATCAGAACTGATAATATTGCTGATTTCTCTTTGGATTTTATCAAGGAGCTCCAGGTAAATAGCATTACTGAGCGGGCTCAACACTCCTTAACTTCGGTGATCAAACGAGAAACGTAGTTTTCAGTGTGATTTGGTTTCGTTTGGTTTGTTTTATGGCAATATCAACCTCAGTAGATCATTTAGCACTAACAAAATTTTGAAATAGATTCATAGCGACAGTTTGGTTTCGTTTGGTTTGTTTATGGCATATCAACCTCGGTGGGTCATTTAATGCCAACAAAACTTTGAAATAGATTCATAGCGATAGTTTGGTTTGGTTTGGTTCATTTTATGGCATATCAACCTCGGTGGGTCATTTAATGCCAACAAAACTTTGAAATAGATTCATAGCGATAGTTTGGTTTGGTTTGGTTCATTTTATGGCATATCAACCTCGGTGG